TAAGGTAGACAGAACATTCCGTAGTCAAATTAAGTATAAAAACAAAGGCCTAAAAATTGGTATGAAACAGCCAAAATATGACCCCATGATAGATAATATTTGTAAATAAAGTCATTAGAACGAATAGAGAATTTACGAAATGCTGATTTTAAATGAGGTTGTTGAAAGTCCCTGTAACATCAACTTTTCTGTTAGTAACCTGACTTGATTTAAAACTTGATCTTACTCAGAGCATTCTCTTGAGTATCGTATAAGTTGGAAGACATAAACACCATATGCAGGTGATAGCAAAATATTACTACATAAATAAGTTGACAAAGGAAAAGCTTGTTATCTCGAAAATCTATCATAAAATCGAAAACGCATTATTTCTTTGAAAATATTCTCTGCTACTGGACATCTAAGAGGCAAACACAGTAAAAGTTGTAATAAGCAATGGTATTTTACCAGATTTGTGAAATTCTGGACAACTGGATCAAGCGAGTTTTCTGGTCCTCTATTTTGTATTCTACTGAGAGAATCGCATGACCAAGAGGCCATGAAATTCACAATTTTAGAATGGATACCCTTGCTTACTATCTATGCACTTAGTTTGCTTAATACCCAGGAGAAGAGAAGATTTTCAGAGAAATAATAATTTTCATTATATTGCAATTCACCATTGCTATTCACCTATGATAATTAATCACTGTAAATGTAAATAATGTTGAATAAGAGAATTATACAAGAATTTTATAATGTACAATACAGAAAGTACTTTCATAGTTTTTTTTAATGGTCAGTTGATTGTAAATAATAGATAAATAAAAATGAGACAAAAATTAATTCCTATCTCTACAATAAATGTTCCTCAAAGACCGAAAGAGGCCAATGTGAATGAGAATGAGATAGACTTACAAATAGTGCTCATCCCCTATTGTTTTGTTTAGTGTCCATGGCGATAGTGATAAATGGGGGCAAGTAAGGCAAGTAAATAGATCTACTTATTGAGTTCTAAAAATCCAAGTAAACCGAACTTGATATAATATATTGCTACATAATTAGGAGAAGTTGACGATAGAAAAGTTTTAATCACATTTATCAAATACCATTATATGAAAGTGCGGTGTCAGATTCTGTATAGTGTCTATTATTTCGAGCTCAGTGGGATAAATGGAATGAACGCATGAATAAAAATGAATACTGTAGAATTGAAGGTCACGGAAGACAGTCTAGTGAATACCGATTACTAAATCCTCTGCTTATGAACCTGGACCACTACTATGTATATATATAGTGAAAACATCAAATGATAGAGTAAAATGTCAACTAAATATCCATATCCATATCCAGAAAAGAGGGTGTTCAAAGTTTAAATCCGCGGTTATTCGTTAGCATCTAACGTCAAGTCCTGAAAGAAGCACTCAGTGGGCCTAAAATATTTGAATAAACAAAATTACTTCCCACTTTAGAAAACATTTCTATGCATGATTTATGCTTGAAATTCTTTATGCATATCATTACAAACTTTAGACAATTAACTTTCATTCTATACGCAACAAGTATCATAAACTTGCCAGCTGTTTTTATTATTGTCAATTATCGCCGGTTGATCTTCGGATTCATTCCATTACATTTTCATCAAAGTTATCGCCCATTTGACCCCTCTTGCTTTTTGGAGACAAAACAACAAAACTAGCAGAAATAACTAGCAGAAATTCCGGACAATAATTAATTTGTTGTAGGTTTTTAAACAAAAATGTCATTGATTTTTTTTTTCATTCTTCTGTACAATAGATACAGTATAACCCACATTGTTACTCTTAAGGAGGTTGGATCCTGTTATCAAAAGTATTGAAAATTTTTCATCAAGTATATTTTTGGAATCTATACACATAGCTTAATTAAAATTAAAACCAAAAATGGGGGTCAGTGCGCTTCTTACGGCGCTAAGAAGCATTTAATATAACCTTATTGCACTGTAATTACGTCTAACACATAAATCAAGTTTTCAAAGTTTTTCCTCTAATATTTTTTATCCAAATAAATTATGGGAACAAACACAGTCTTTTTTCGTCTTGAATAGTCTTTTTAAAATTTGTGACAACAAAAAAGCTTCAAATTACTTCGCATAGTCAATTATTTGACCTTTTTGCACTCAAAAAATGAAATTTTTCTGGCATTTAAAATTTAACAAGCAATAAAGTCATTTGAAAGTAATAACATTTTTCGGAATTTAAGCAGAATGGTTAAAATTATCTTGTATATTCAGAAAATAAAATTAAAAGTGGGGGTCTGTGGTTTTAATTTTTAGATATAACTAAAACAGTGTTAATTTTTAGCCTAAAATGGGCTATTTTTCCCTGGACTTTCACAATATACTTGTTATATTTTTCCAATATGATGATAGAATTCATGACGGTTAATTTAATATATTATTTAGGACCAGCATAAAACATTTCATAGCACAAAATAACTCTGTGTGCAGGCTGCATATAGAAATAGGCATCCAAATTTAACAATACTGTAAATATTTCGAATGAAAAAAATTGTTCATTTTCTTCTATAAAACCCTCCGCCACAAAATGTAGTTCCTCACTTAATGCTTTCGGTATGGAATTTAATCATGGGGTTTTAATTGAATATAGTTTAATTAGCATTGCAGAATCCAAATTTATTGTAAGAACTAAAACAGATTTTTTTTTAAATTGAGGTCTAGGCAAAAATCTGCGCGAACTATCCCTATATTTAAAAAACCACAATACAGATCAGAATGAAATTTGGCACACATATAGTCATACACATGTTATATAAATAGTATATGTTAAATAATGTTTTGCTCCGTGTTTGTGACGTCACAATGTGAAAACAACGTCAGTATGTAGGTCACTTGTGACAAAAAATGGTTGACTCAGTCGTACTCGAGCAACGAACGGCTGAAAAGTTTAACGTATATCTCGGAAATTCCTTTGCAGTAGAATATGATAATTTGCACAAGGTTTATGAAGACAAAAGATTTACCAGAAGTTCAATCATTAATTGGATTAAATGTTTTAGTGAAGGCAGGGAGATGGTTTAAAATGATGTTTGTTCTGTTGCCCAGCGAAAGCAAGCCGGTAAAAAGATGTGTCCTTAGTTGAGCAATTTATTTTGAAAGATCGAAAAGTTACAGTAAGAAAAATACTTGAATATCTGAGCAATAAAATGATTATTAAATCCCTAAAAAATCGTTTACTTTAGACTTTAAACACATGATATATGAAAAAAAGAAGACACCCATACTTTTTCCACATTGAATTATCGACGCTCCCGAGACAAAGGACTCGGGTTATGATGGTCACCATGCTAATTCTGAGAAGGGATATCTTTATCCACCCATCCTATTGCCGATATTTGACCATTTCTGACAGATGGGCTGTTCTTGTTCTAAAAAATTACTTGCATGGTAAGAAATATAAGACTCGGAAAAATCTCGTAGCTTCTGTGAACAGACCGTTACGAAGCATGTCACGTGACCGCCTGGATCACGTGATTCGTGCATGGACACAACAATGGCAGATGTGCATTAAAATCGGAGAGGACTACTTCAAAAAATAATGAACACTGAAACCTCATTTTATTTCTTTTAAGGAAGTAATTCAACTATTTCGCGAACTTTCTGATCACCCCTCGTATGTGCAATAATTATGTTTGAAAAATGATCTGTTTCCTTTTTACCATAATGTGTTAATGTTGAGTGGGTACAAAGTACAAAAGTATCCACGTAAGTATATAGAGAATCCTCTTTTTGCACAGCTGTTTTATTTTTTTAAGATTAAAAAAAAATATTTATTTTTTATTGCTTGACTACGCCCAGACATTTATAGTTTTATGCCTTACCCTTGCGCGAATTCATCTAGAAATGAATAAGGTGAATTCAATTTTTATTACCTTGAAGTTAAGATTACTATAAAATAGAATTTAAGTTTACTATTAAAAAAAAGCATATTTTTAACAAGAAACCGAGTACAAAATATTTAGTCGATAGTCAGTATGACCAAACGATGGTCAAGTATTCGAATTCTCGTTGATATCCCTGCTGAAAACACAATTTCTTTTTCTTGTTTTGTCGTCTAACCTGTACAAAAAGAAAATTTAGGTCTTTTATGACAATATTACCGCTTTTAAGAAATCTTATCTTTTCTAAAATTCATTATAAAACCACAGCATTATTCAACTACAAAATAGTAACACACTTGTATATGTGCTCATTTTTTCCACTGATTTCTTTAAATTTTTTTTAAATTGGATAATCCGATTCAACATTGAAAATACAGCAAACCACACAATACTTAAAGCATGTTCGTTTTCCGGATTCTACATGTTTACTTAGTGATGTCATTGCGGATGTGAAACCCTTTCCATTTTCACAATTTTTTTGTTTTTTTTTAAACTATCAACTGCCTACCCCAATGCAGACTACCTATTTTAAAATAATGAATAAATTTATTTTTAAATTAAGGATACGTATGTTACATAATAATTATTGTTTTTCACGATTTTGTAACAGATTTAGTCACAGCTGGATGATGTAATATGACTTATCGAACAATAGAACTATAAAACAGAGAGTCTTATCACTATAGATTTAATTCTTACAGTAAACCAGCAGAATGATTGTCATTCTTTTGGCTTATGCAACTTTGGCATCTATTGCAAACGGTGAGTTTCTTTGTTATAAATAATGATATAAAATACGGCTAAGAAGTCTTGGAAGTATGGCATTAATATTTAAGATGATTTTAATCTATAGCATGAAATTGGGTACGGTAAATGCCTGACATAAAATTTGGTACGGTAAATCTATGGCATAGAATTGGGTATAATAAATATTTGGGATTATATTGCGTATGGTAAATGTGTTATATACATGTAGGGTACAAAAAATATATGGCATTGAAATAAAGACAGTAAACATACATGTATTATATAGTGTACAACAAATCTTACACATCAGTGATTACGTTACATAGATTCATTAAATGGTAAAAAACATCTTACATATCGTTTATTTAACAGGTGGCATATCTGACACGTGCTTGGGATGCATTTGTAATGTAAGTATAACATGTTCAACAATATCTATTGTTTTTTTATTAAAACATATATTCAATTTACTGTCAAACGTTATCTTTTTTTAATTCACATCGAATTGGTATTTGAAGTATATATATATATATATATATATATATATATATATATATATATATATATATATATATATATATATATATATATATATATATATATATATGTATATATATATAGGCAACAGTAATTAACTTTCCTTCTTGTTTATCCTACCATTTGTTTCAATTTCAATAAGGCTTACCAAAATTGTAATCAATATCAGTGTTTGCTTATAATGATATTTTTTAGTCATCAGTAAGATTATGATTAAAATACCTGCAGGTTGAATCAGGCTGCCGACCCATTGGTTGTAACTGGGACGTTAATTCGTACTCCTGTGGATATTTTCAAATCAAATACGCTTATTGGTTGGACTGTGGCCAACCTGGAGAAAGTAAGGAGAGAGAGAGAAAGAAAGTGTGTGTGTGTGTGTGTGTGTGTGTGTGTGTGTGTATTTCATTGTAAGCAACAACAAGCAGTTCTTTAGGTGAAATTAATGAAATTTCCAGAAACTGTACAATTTTCATGATAGGTTGGACTGCATGTGCCGATAATTACAACTGCGCCGCTGGATGCGTGCGTGCCTACTTGAACCGTTACATTGGTTATAGTGGTTGTCCTGCCAACTGCGAGAGTTATGCAAGAATCCATAACGGCGGACCTAAGGGATGTACATATTTTGGTACCAAAAACTACTGGAACCTTATTCAGCAGCAAGGATGCACAAAATACAGCTAAGGCGTTAGCTTGATTCTATCTAGTGGCATCATACATTTTCATGAAAATATACATTTGAACTAAATATATTTAAATAAATATGTTAAATATCTAAAGAAATTTGAGAAATATTATTCTATATATATATATATATATATATATATATATATATATATATATATATATATATATATATATATATATATATATATATCCGTAATGGTTTCATTCTATTGACCATTGGATTGGTATTTCTCACTGCCGAATATCCGACTTAAAGATATTTCGAAACCCTAGTAGAACTTAGAAGAACTCAGAAGTCTTGCATATTTAGAAGATAAAGAAAACAACCCAGGAAAATCCTGTTTCTAAGGAAATAGAAGATTTCGTTAGTCGCAATAGATCTGCTAGTATATGTACCTTTATATGATATTTATTTAAGTTTGAATTAACCAGTGTTATCGGTAGTATAGTGGTACTGCAGTGGAAAATTTAAAAAAAAAAACAGCGTTTTTGGTTGTGAGCTTCAGATGTAAACGAGAGTACTTGTGTCACTTACGCAGTTCCATAAAAAATCAATGTAAGAACATTTATCAAAACCCAAAGACATGACGCCTATAAGACATCCCACTGAACAATGTCTCTTTCTCTCTCTCTCTCTCTCTCTCTCTCTCTCTCTCTCTCTCTCTCTCTCAGAAAATGTAGCATCAAACAATTATAACAGTCAAATAAATCTACCTAATAAAATCGACTGAGGAATCTGGGGCCATTCCCAATCAAAGTCACTTATTTTTCAATGGTGCTGTTCACTACTGATGTCCTGAACTAAAGTTATGGATGAATCTTGGAGACCTACTGTATTTCTCTTTATTAAACAATGCATCTCGACAGTAAGAAAATATATGCTTTGGGATTGGATTCTCAATAGTTCTTGAAATATCGTCGTAACCCCTAAATTCGTCCGTACCCTAAAATTGTCCCCAAAGTTTTCATGGGTAGCACATTTCGAATTGTTTGTTTATGACGTCACTTTTTACTGGTATCGAATGTAAACAGAAGAGGCAACAGAAACGTCAAGAAGATTTCAGAGGAAATGCGGTTTAAACAGGTAATGCAAATGAAAAAAAATAGGCCAACAATATACATCTTTTCCTTATGCCCAATTTTCGCTTTATGTCTTAACGAGGTTCGCTCCTGAGCTTTCGAGCAGATTTATATCTTAACCTATATTTAAAAAATTCTGGATAAAGTTTTAATTCTTACAATAATTTTGGATTCTACAATGCCAATTAAACTATATTCATTTAAAACTCCATTATTAAATTCCATACCAAAAAAGCATTAAGTGAGGAACTATATTTTGTGGAGGAAGGTTTTGTAGAAGAAAATGGTCATTTTTTCTCTTTCGAAGTATTTAAAGTATGTTAAGTTTGGATTCCTATTTTTGCATGCAGTCTGCACACAGAGTTATTTTGTGCAGTGAACTGTTTTATACTGGTCCTAAATTATATATTAAATAAACTGTCATGAATTCTATCATCATATATGATAAATATAGCAAATATATTGTGAAAATCAAGAAAAAAAATCCCTATTTTAAGCTTAAAATTAGCACTATTTTAGTAATATCTAAAAATTAACATCACAGACCCCCACTTTTTATTTTATTTTCTGAATATACAAGATACTTTTAACCATTCTTCTTAAATTCAGTAAAATAAATAATTGAACATGCGGAGTAATTTGAAAAAAATTTTCGTTGTCACAAATTTTAATGTGTCTATTCAAGATGAAATAAGACTGTGTCTGTTCCCACGTAATTATATATTGGAGGAAAAACTTTAAAAATTGATTTATGTGTAAGACATATTTACAGTGCAAAAAGGTCAAATTAAATGCTCTGTAGCGCCAAAAGACCCGCATTGACCCTCATTTTTTGTTTTGATTTTTAATTAAGCTATGTGTATAAATTCTAAAAATATACTTGATAAAAAATTCTCATTACTTTTGATGGCAGGATCACTTCCTTAATGGCAATATTATTCCTTAATATTCAACCCCCGATGGAGAGAACAGCACCATCATGTCTGTCAGTCTGAATCACACAGACGCTTTAAAAGTAATAGGCCAACAAAACACATTTTCTGTTTCACAGGAAACAAGTGTGCCGTACACACGGGCTGCATAGAAAGTGACGTGCCTATCGTTGCTATTTCTAACGTGACCAATAAATTAAGCTTTAACCAAGAATATGTTCAGAATGTTGTTCTTTTTTATTTTATAATATATTTCATATTTTTTAAATGATTTTCTTTATTACAAAATGCCAGTAAAAAGGTTGTTGTCTATAAATTATACATGACACAAACATAATGGTTGATCATAGATTATTATATATGTGTGTGTGAATAAAATATTAGTTAATTTTAAAAAAATAGATTATTATTTTGTTCTTACTATTATATTTACAATATTTCAATGGCATATCAAATGTTTACAAATTTCAGAATAAGAATATTATTAAATCTATTGATATTAATAATATATTATTTTAATTAGTCCTAATGTTGATAATTTCAAGTGACTATATACTTATTTTTTTTAAATAGGTTAAACCAAAGTTAGTCTCCTTAGGGTACCGAAAATATAGCCCAACTAAGATGACTAATGCTTATCTAGCAGTTAAGGAGATGAAATATCCCTATTTTAAGCTTAAAATTAGCACTATTTTAGTTATATCTAAAAATCAACATCACAGACCCCCACTTTTTATTATATTTTCTGAATATATAAGATACTTTTAACCATTCTTCTTATATTCAGTAAAATGTCATTACTTTCAAATGATATTTTTGCTTGTTAAATTTTTAATGGTAGAAAAATGGAATTTTTTGAGTGCAAAAAGGTCAAATAATTGTGCATGCGGAGTAATTTGAAAATATTTTCGTTGTCACAAATTTTAGTGTGTCTATTCAAGATGAAATAAAACTGTGTTTGTTCCCAAAATCTATTTGAATAAAAAATATTGGAGGAAAACCTTTAAAAATTGATTTATGTGAAAGACGTATTTACAATGCAAAAAGGTCAAACCAAATGCTCTGTGGCGCCAAAAGAAGCGCATTGACCCCCATTTTTTGTTTTGATTTTTAATGAAGCTATGTGTATAAATTCTAAAAATATACTTGATAAAAAATTTTCATTACTTTTGATGGCAGGATCCAACCTCCTTAACAATATCTAATTTCATTCCTACGTTGATTCCATGTATCCCTTTGTACTCGATATAAAAAAAGCACTACAGAGTCTATTACAACTGCTTCATATTTGGATATATTACTTAAAAAAAAGACATTGATTGCAAACTAACAACTTAACTTTATGATAAACGTGATGACTTCAACCTTTCTGTCCTTAGCTTCCCTTATTTAAGTAGCATTATCACCTGCATATGGAGTATTTATCTCCCATTTGATTCGATATGCAAGAGCATACTCTACGTACGAACAATTTCTAAACCGAGAAAAGCTATTGATAAAAACATTGATGATATAAAGAGTATATGTCTCCCATTTGATTCGATATACAAGAGCATGCTCTACGTACGGACAATTTCTAAACCGAGGAAAGCTATTGATGATATGAAGATTTAAAGTCAACATTTTCGCAATTCTATGGTATGGTATGAAGGCATACAGCTACATTTGAAGAAGTCAGATAAACAATCACACCAGACAATTCCAGTTGATTTCAAAGCCCTCATTTTCAGTTATTTTTGTTTTACGCATTTAGTTTATATATTTCCTTCGCATTTCCTTCCTGTACTGTTTATTTCATATACATGTATAATACGTTCTGAAGGAAAAATTAATCGTCTGGTTCTAAAGAAACAGTCCTTGAGTTATATAATAGTGTTATTATTTGGATGTACTATGCCGAAATAGTAGTCAGGGTTTGACACATGGTGCACGAGCCGGAGGCGAGTGCACTATGTGTCAAACCCTGACTACTATTTCGGCATAGTACATCCAAATAATAACACTATTATAATTATTATGCTGACTGTTGTTTGTATACGACAATTTAATTAAATTCTCAATCCCAAACCTGTTTGCAGACGTTAAATCTAAATGAAAATTTTCTTGAACATTCTTTAATCAAGCGTTATATCAAAAAGCGTTTTATTGACTCCGAAGAACCAGTTCATGTTACGTTGCAATTTTGGTTACTGATAAATTCGATTATTTGTTAGAGAATTTATCTTTAAGATCCTTATCAATAATATCAGTCTTTTAGAAATTATATTCATTTATTTCTTGTTTTGTGACAAATGTATAAAAACTACGTTTATATACTTGAAAATACATTCCGTAAAGTAGCGGTGTTTGTGGCGTAATCGGTAACGCGTTGGACTGACGTTCTCCAGATCGTGAGTTCGATCCCCAGCGTGGGTGCTAATTACATTTTCTCTAGAAAAGACAGCCGTGCACTATTTCGGCATAGTATGCTTACGCTATATAAATCCTTAGAACACTATGCGAAAATAGTTGGGTATTGATTATATAGAGACAAACTGACAGGAAGCATAATAATATACAGTAAAAGCATGGCATTTCATGCTTAGTCTAACGTTACTGTTTTTGTGTCATATTTCTTTTACGCAACGAACCTGACAAGACAAAATATAGGCTCCCCACGTTGAAGAAATTTAATGAGACAATCATCCCGATAAAAAAGGGTTATATTCTTACCAAAAAAAGACCATTCTCTAATTAAGTATCATCCTTGTGACAATATTTCATATGGAGCAATTCGAATGAGTAATGATTTGATAGACTAGTAATTTTCATTGCATATTGTCTATTTTGTGCATTTTTCATATTCAAACAAGACAAGCGTTAGCTGAAGATTTAAAAAGGAACAAAATGTGTACAGAATGCATTATAGAATAAGTTTCCTTGATAAATAAATGAAGTAAACGATTTCTCGATTCATCGTCGTTAAGAACAACTATTAAATAGAAAGTGTTTAATTAATTATTTGACCGCATACCGAAAAACATCGCAATTTCGGTCATTTTAAAGGAGAAATGTACTGAAAGTTAGAGAAAGCAATCAACAGATATTTCATAAAGTATGACACAAACACAGTCATCCGAAGTCTTCTTTGGAAACAATTCTAAAGTATAAATTATTATATTTAATCTTTGAAACGGCTTTTTAATAAAATATCAGAAAACGTGTCGGTGTCAAAACCCTTTAGCCGTATCAAACATGCCAAGTAGCATTTAGCTCCGTTTTGTCAAATGGTCACTGTTAGGATAAAAGTCAACTGCAGGTGTCATATTAACAACGATTTATAGAACAGCGTCCTATTCATAAGGTCCATTCCATGTGTCAAAACATCTCGAGCAGGGACCTTCAGGTAGGACAATACATTTATAGTTATACATGAAATTCGGTGATGGTATTTCTTAAGACCGGATAAACTTATTGACTTGATATTTCAAATGAAATTCTATCTTCTTTACAAAATAATTAAATTTCTTCGTTATTTCTTCGTAACATTATTTTTTACCTCATTCATTACATTTATGGATACCTGATATGGCGGTGCTCTGTTTGACACAAATGAAAACGCAAAGTTGGAATTTAAATGGTCATTTATTATTAAACAATGATAGGTAATATTTGCTAACAAGGACATTGAAACGACTATAAATTTTACGAAATGCTTACTTTTAACGAGCTTGTTGAAATCCTAGTAACATCAACTTATCCATCAGTCGCCTGCTTATAAAAATTGATCGTACTCAGAGCATACTGATTTGAAATCCTCACTACGGCAAATACATTAGTTTTTAGACAAATCATAATAAATATCTTGTTCAAGTATCTTTACTTTCAAACTGGTCTTTGACACAACTTTAAAAGTATTCTTCATGGAAAACATTCTTACAAAATACTTGACACTGCTCACAACTACAAGATGTAACAATGTACGGAATATAATTGTGGAAACTCCGTGATACCTTCAATAATTCAATATTTCTTGAATGTAAAAATATAAACATTGATGTCGTTATGACATCGTAAATTGAAAGAAATCAAAAATATCCATTATTATCATTCAATACATGTATTTGATATCAATTTTCACTCTTCTTATTTTTCAAGGTACAAATTATTATCCTTGGTTACCATACAAACAAATATCAAATATACAGCACAATTAAGAAGTACTATATGATGTGAAATTTTGTGACATATTTAGTTCACTATTATCTTCTGTGTAGTTTCCTATTCAAAAGACAAGTATGATATTGCTAACAGAGACGTCCAGTCAATGTGCCATTGGGATAGATATATCATCTTATAAATTTTGAATTTACTAGGTGGAGGTAAATGCAAAATTTACAACATGATAACTTGTTATCATGTATTTTTTTATTTACCTCTACTTAGTAAATACAAAATTTACAAGGTGATAGAATGATTCCAAACTGGATTCACGTTGCACACAAAGAAATATACAAAATACTATCAGAACATGTCGAGAAATTAATCTATAGCGACTCTCTGCGTATTTAGCATATTTTATGGTAAACAAGGTCGGTCTTTGGTCAGGTGTCGGGTGAAATCTAGATCTCTCTGCACACATTCTGACCGCATGGCATTGTGCTCGCCTACTGTGTAACACTGATTGCTCATTGGACATGGCAGCTATTACAAAAAATACCAACGTTGAAAACTAGTAAGTGAAATACAGATAACTTAATATTGTAAATGGCCACTGTCAAAAATGTGACATATTTTATGTTTATAAAAACAGTATGAAGAGGTTTACTTTTTATGCTTTCATCTAATTTTTTTTAAATTCCATTTTTTTTTTTTTTTTTTTTTTTTTTTTGGTTAATAGTGAACCAGCTTTGTGTTAGTTTCTGTTTCAAGAGTTGTATATTATAGTTTTCTGACCAAGTTTTACGGAAAATGGATCGTGATATGAGTTTATATAGTTTTTTTTTCAAAATAAGTCAGGGGTGAAATGATTCTGGCAAGGGAAGTTAAAAAACTTTAATGTGTGCATTTATTACAATTTTTTTACAGAACTTTTACTTTGGCGTTAGCATAATCGTATTGTAAATTTTAATTTCATACTGGGTGGAAGCAAATACGCAAAACTTTTAAGGGTGAGAACTTGTAATTTTTAGTATTTAGGTCATCTCAGTAAATTCCAAGTTTATACCATAAAAATAAAATGTTATCTTCTGGTTTTTATTACATGTGGGTATTTCAATAACTCGTACACATTTTTTAAAATTAATATAAGATAGCATTTGTCTGCTTATAGAGTGGGATCGAAAATAAAGGGTTCTATAATTTTTGCTAGTTTTCTTACTTTTCCTTTGTTCCTGATAAAGGGGATTGCATTCTGCCTCCACATATGTTAGGGAAACTAGAATGACTATAATTCAAGTAGTTGAGATGGTTGTTTTAGCAGAAGTATTCTGTTTGCATTAGCGGAAAAAGTCTTTTTTAAATAAATCCAAGTACAAAACCAGCCAGTATAATTCTGAATTTTAATGTATACTATATCCTGTAGTATTTCTAGAACACAATAATGGCAGCTCCGAAGGCTTTTTTTTTCCTAATTAATTAGCTTAATTAGCGAGCATGTATAAGCGAGATATAGGCTTTTAAAAATCAACATGAATGTTGATTGATTGATTATTGTTGTTTTACGCCGAGTCGGCAATACTTCAGCCATATTTCGGCTGTAACATAAATGTTAAAACAGAGAATAGCTGTCTCTGTATTGTATACTATGTTTATTTGTATAGAGTTCGGTTTGCTTCTTTGCTATATATACGATGTGTGATAATCTTCCTTATTGTTATTATTTGAACGATAGTAAAAAAAAAAATCCACAAAAATCAAAATAAAACCAAAGAAAGTTTTTCATGGCCATAGAGCGTATACACAAATAAGAAGAACAGAAATCAGGGTTGCTTACTTAAATGGGGAAAACATAAGCAGATGAAGTATTCATTTGATTCATGTTAGCTAGTACAATAATAAAATACTTGAATTGATATCAAACAGTTCAATACACCATGGATTTCATTTTATTCAATTTTAAATCAAATGGCAGATCACTCGAACTGCATAAAATTACCATGAAATTAGCACCCCTTAGTGTGCAGTGAAGTGTCCTTAAAGAACGTGACTACCATATACATAAAGGTCAAAATGTATTCCCCTTAAACCAGATGTAACTTCCTACTTTTATATAAATATACTTTAGTATAATACAACCCTAATTAAAAAAAACTTTAGTAAATTCAATACCCAGAGGGAAAAATCAATCCTTTCATTGCTGAAATTGTAAAATATTTTCTACAATTTTAAATTAGATTTTTGTTATAAAGACAAGTGATTTATCTGATGGCTAAAATTTCCATGATATTATTTGTGATTTCTATATTAAAAGTTTGCACAATTCTTCAAACGAGGGAAGAAGAAAGCGGTAGAATGCAATAATAATTGTGAAAGGTTGAGTTGGTGAAATTTTGCTTCATTCATACTTTTAGATTAACAAAGCATTTTTCCTGTTTATTCGAAATATTTATGGACTAGATTTTAAAATTACCACTGAATATTATTTCAGTAGTCATCTTCTAGAGAAACACTTTTTTCACAATGGTCAAACAAACGTCCTAGAAAAGCTTAACTTTGAGTACTATTCCTAGGTGTCCATTTCTTATAAGAATGGCTTCTTTTCTTTTTGGCATGATACATATTTTCTTAATAAATAATGAATGGTGTTTAATATTCAGTATTATGGCTGAGGAATCGCATTCTACGGACCAGAAACCAAAGAATAAGACTGGAGTGTGCTATTCAAGAAAATTTATTGGATTCCTCATTCTCAATGTGTTGGTTGCGTACATTGTTGTCATCTGGTTAGCAACAAAAGGCTCTGATGAAAACAGTCAAGAAACAACTGCTGATGACGCCACGAAAACAAGTTATAGAAATAGGAAAATTCATATCAATACCGGTGCCGTGGTCAGTGATAATGTGGCATGCTCAAACATCGGCAGGTAGTGTTTATAAAAAGTTCATCAAAAATTTTGATGTAAATAAATATTTATTAGGAACATCAGAAGCAAATTACTGCTGAAATATGTTTATAACATTATAATTTTCTATTAATTAGGGATTTTCTGTTACGTGGTGGTTCTGCTGCTGACGCTGCTATAGCTACACTTCTTTGTAATGGCGTCGTTACACCACATAGTATGGGAGTAGGAGGAGGTAACTCTGTACACATGCTAGAATTTTACTTGAAGAGTTCTTACTTTTCGCCCTCCCCTTCCACCCCCACCCCCTTTATTTTGGCTAAACTCATTTAGGCAAAGGTTTTCTACCAAGTTGCCATAGGTAAGTCTAACTGTAGTCAAATCTATTTAACATAATTTACGTGAACATGTTCTGAAAACATACAACGATGTGGAATAATTTGGGATGTCAAAATATTTGTCAGCATGGGAAATAAAGACATGATTAGCATTTAGATATCGAGAAAAAATGTTACACAAACTGTCTTTTTTAAAATAGAAAATAATATTTGGGCTAAAATAGTCACGTACTGAAACGAAATTTAATTTTCGTAAAATCTTTTTTTTTTTTTTTTTTTTTTTTTTTGTATCCGGAGGAAATGAGGCTTGTATCTTCTGCCCATAGAGTTTATCCGAAATAGAAATATTCGAAATCATGAATGTGTATGGTAACCTTATTTCATGTCAAAATCTTACACATTTGTATATCGTGCCACTGCATAGCTTAAGCAGCAAGTGAACACAGTCGTCGCTCATTCAAGCCATCTTCATTTATGGGAATAAATTGAATCCTTGAATTTTACTAAAAATTAAACGATAAGGTTTGATTTCGACCATTAAAGTCTAACGTTAATATACTGTTGTTTGCACAATGATATGAATTTCATAGCCATTTATTCCAGTGGCTTAAAACGCTCTTGCGTTCCATTCATGACTCCATATCATGACCTTATTCAATAAGCTCCTACTTTTACAATGATTTACCTGCAAGAAGCGTACATGACTTACTGTTCCATAATAAAGGAAATTAAAGTAGGTTTATTCTATATAGGCCCCTATTAATGTATACAAAATAATTTTGTTTTGCTAATGGCCTTTTCTGATCCTGGTTGTCGATTTGAACAACATTTGAATAAGATTATTATATATTTTTTATTAATTGAAACTTGCAATGGACAGGATCTTTAGAATGTTAAGGTCATTAAAGCACGTAAGCCTATTAGGATCAATCTATGCAGAAAAAAAATTATAACGCCTTTCCAAAGGGCGCAATAACGCGAAAAAAGGCGAAACGACAAGAAAAAGGCTTTATAACGCCTTTTTTGCATTAGTGCGACTTTCCGATAGGCATTATAACGCCTATTAATTTTTTTCTCCATAGATTGATCCGTATAGGCTTTCGTATTTAAGCATTTATATTTGAAGAAAAATATCCTTTTTATTTAAAGATTTTTTAAATTTTTATTTTTTTTTTATTTATTTATTTATTTATTTATTTATTTTTATTTTATTTATTTATTTATTTTTTTTTTTTTTTTTTTTTTTTTGCCATCCCAGGGTGTTAGGATGAGGTTTGTAAAAGAAAACTAAACAAATGAAGTCACATACATGCACACACACACACACACACACGCTCACCCTCACACACCCTGACACACACACACACACAAGGTCACGAATGGAATTTTGTGTAATTGATTGATTGATTGTATGCTGTTTTACGTCCCGTTCGAGAATTTTTCACTCATATAGAGACGTCACCATATATCGGTGAAGGGCTTCAAATTTAGAACCCACAACCTTCTGATCACCAAAAGAGCTCTCCACTGAATGAGCTACCCTGACGGTGGAAATTGTACAACAAGAGAATTTTTGAATATATAACATAAAAGGTTATTATTTGAAGATATAAATTTTCTCTTGAACGCCAAGTGTTTATTTTGTAAAATATGCAAGTAAATTTTCGATAAGGTATGCTAAATTATTGAATTTCAAATCAAGTTATTTAGTTTGGGCCTTAATATAGCCTTTGATTCATTTATAAATCAAAGCAATGTGACTCTTCAGAGTGTTCTGGTCTATGAACCTCCAGAATTCATATCTTTAATATATAATGTAAGGCATCGATCACAAACTGTCAGATGATACTCTGTGTGTGTACAATTCCTTCTATTAAGAACTTTTGTCCTCCATACTGGAGCCTAAATCATGATTGTAAAATATATCAATTGAAATTACATAAATGCTTGGTTTTTTTTTTTTTTTTTACTTCTTTGTCTGAAAGAAAAAATATATGATGCATTGCATTTTTTGATAAAACAAGGAATTGAACTAAGGGAAACTCAAGTACATCGTGTGTATTTAAATTTCTCGTTCCTTGGGAGTGCAAATTCAGTATTATATATATATTTTTGCTCTTTGACTCACAGTTAAAACATGTATTAATTTATTGCTGCAAATTGTACCTTTGAGAAAAGAAATATTTTAAATTAATCCTTTTGCCAAGAAAAATTTTCAGAGGATTGTTTTATAAATGATGACTCTTCTAATACCAAACCTATTCCTTGAATTTTACACTAAATAACTCAATTCTCGTTGATTCATCCTAAGGCTTGTTGTTATCTTGGAAGTATTGTGAGATATAACAAAGTGTTGATATATTTAACAAACACTTGATCGATTTTCTTGTCACTCCATGAAAACGATTATCCCAACTGTAGACAAGAATTTTTTCCGAAGAAAATGTATCTCGTCATTTCATCAATTAACACTTTCAGATGGGTTGGATTGCCTTTTTTTGCATGATGCAAAAACTGAAATACAAAGAAATTTAACCTTACTAAATGGCACCTAGATAAATAATGACTTGCAATGTCTCAAATTGACTTACTTTTGTATATAGAAATAATCACCATCATGAACTACAGTATACTGCTATATCGGTTAAAACGTTGAATAGATACTCATTTGCAGATTTCTACATAAAATCAATGTCATAAAAAGAATATTATAGTTTCTTGTTATAATATGTTTCTTTGACAAATTCTTTGATTTTTTTTTCACTTGTATTTTGTTTTAGATATCTCATATTTTTACAAATTCAACTGAATAGAAACGTTGTTAAGTAACACAAAGACAACAGATACATTGTCGTTGTGTATGTGATAACTCATTCACAAGAATTGAATTATTTCAGAATGTTTTTATTTTGTACGCTTGTTTATTTTAGTACTATAATGTTGATAGGCAATATTGAGCAGATTCATTATATGCACTCTATTATTTTAGATATTTACCTTTACAATTGTTTTATTGCATTCAGGGTTATTCATTGTATATTACGATGCCAAATCACAAAAAGCCGTGTATATCAGCGGCCGCGAGAGAGCGCCCAAAAACATCCCAGGCGATATTTACGTCAACAAATCTGGATGTTTTGGTAATTACTTTTTCCTAACTTTGTCATCATTGCAAAATATATTTTAGCATTTTCAGCAATATAAATCACGTAGACCTTGAATCAGTTCCAATGAATTTTGATATTGCTTAACATATCACACTTGTATTTTGTTGGAGGACTTTCTTCTAGGTTAAATGTACTGAAAGATCTTTTTTAAACGTGAATTTCAGATTCAAATTGCATGTTTATTTTACATTTTGTAGTGTCTATAATATATTTAATTTTATTTTTCAAATTAATAATTTTCAATAAAATTAAACCTTAAGATTGAACAGAATTAGCTTTTAAAATGGAGAATGAAAGAGTTAGGTTCATTATATACTTAAAATGATTCTGTTTATACATGTAGACATATTAAAGAATTGTCATCCAGTCCATTTCAAACATTAATGTAGATCATATAGTTAATGCGTTACTTCTTTCTTCTGAGAGCCCACGTATTGGAAAACGGGTTTTGTGAAATTGCAAACTTTTTGCTTTTTACAGAAAATTAGTGTATTTCGGATTTTCGGTACGTTCTACAAAGAATTAAAACCCTTCGATCCAAAAATAAAAATTCTCATACCTGTTCTTTAATATATTTTAACACTTTTTGGATGGAATGTTTTGCACTTTATGAAATTTAAAAAAAAAAAACCGGATTGAAATTGGTCATTTTGGAAGAATTTATCATTAAATGGGATTAATGGCACAATTCCTGCCTTCACAATCCGAAGACTAGCAGAAAAGTAAGAAAAGTATGTTATTTTTATGGATATGTAGGTAGTAAAATAGGTAAAAATGATAACTGAACAACTACATTTTAACAGTTTTGATTTTTCATAATTTTTCATAATTTTACAGGGCCAAAGGTCCTAAGAGAACTTGCTCTTAACATGTGATCTGTGGTCGGTAAATTGTTTCTGTTTAAGAGGAATTACACCTCAAGTGTTAATTATCATTCCTTAGGCGGACTCTATATAGCAGTGCCCGGAGAACTGAAGGCGTATTGGACATTACACAGAAAATACGGTCGTCTACCTTGGAAGGACCTCTTCGCACCAGCTGTTCATCTGGCCAGAAACGGATTCTACCTGGCGAATAGCGTCTACAAAGCTCTGTCTTATATGAAAAATAGACTCAGTGTTAATCTACAGGATTATGAACCTTTTTGGTATATATATATATATATATATATATATATATATATATATATATATATATATATATATATATATATATATATATATATATATATATATATATATATTCTTTTCTTTTAAGCAATATACATTTTATTACTCACAAAGCATATATACTCACAAAGCAATTATTCAAATACCATGACAGATTGAACTGCAAAGCATTTAATTTTTTTTTCTACAGTACCTTGCAAGTATCTTCTTATCAAGCCCTGTCCTTTAGCACCAAAGTTTTTGGGCATATTAAAACACAAATGTAAATATCTAAAGCAAAAAGGTGTATCAATATTGCCAGTAAAAAAAGAGTTGTCATTATCAAAAAATAAGGGCTTTTGATGAAGAAGGCCACAAAGATAGATGTTTACATGTCATGCTGCCATATGTTTGTAAACAGTAACTAATGCCTAAAGATTTGTAAATATTCAACGGTGGGATCAGGTGCCTGGGAGGAGTAAGCATCCCCTGTCACACCCACCGTAGGTCTCTAAACATACATGCGAAAGGTGCATATATATTCCTTTCACCATTACTTTTTATAAGTAATTGTTTAGATTGACATTTTATTCAGTTCTTCAAAACATAAATACATTCCATGTTTTGGAGTATTAGTAAATATGATAACTGTTTAATACAGAAAAATGACCTTTAAACTTTTCGGTATAATCAGGTGTTCTACAATGTTTTATTGCAACAGTGTGTCAAGACTAATTTTCCTTATTTTTTTTTTTATCACAGCGAGGTGTTTTGTGACCAAGAAGGAAATATTGTACCAGAAGGGTCCGTGGTCAGAAACACCAGACTGGCGGACTTTTTGGAGAAGGTTGGAGAGAGGGGATCAGACTACCTTTACAACAGCTCATTGACAGACATCGTCGTCAAGGAGATCAATGATAAAGGTAGAATGATGAACCCTACTGATGAAGCTCTCTATTCCAACTCGTCCCCTGATGAATAATTTTTGTTTTTTTTTTCTAAAACTACTGAAAAAACCACCTTTTCGGTATGTAATATTGCTGGAACAGGGTAGAGAAAAGAATAATGCTTAGACTTGAGAGGTGTAGCCAAAACCGTCTTTACTTTATCGGTCCTAATAGAGAAACCGATTGCAAGATGGTCTTGAGAGCAAAACAACAAAGAGTTCCTCAAGTATCAGGTAAAAAGTTAGGTTCCAGGAAGGACTAACTTAAAAGATTCAAAATTACTTTGAATTTACTTTCTATTTTTCCAGTCTGATTAAAACAAGAATTTGAAAATGTAGGATAGTGAACGGTGAAAGAAGGATTAATTTCAAATAAGTCGGCTTCGAAACTCCTAAATACCTTGAAGAAAGAAAATATGCATTGGTATCATTCATCTAAATTTCTGATATTCCTGTTCGGATGGTAAGGTCCCCAAGGTGGTCAAAGATGATCGTGAGTAAAAAAAAAAACTCATTTTTTTAATTTCAAACATATACCAAGTACTTGATTAGCCGAGTATTGGAGTCTCAAAACCAGTAAAATAAGGAAATTAATGTTTCGAGAGTTTAGGATGGTGATGTCTTACAACATATATAAACAGTTAAAACCGCATTTTGAATATGAAATACTGAGATAACGAACAGTATTCAAGCTCAAAGTCCATTAGCACAATACAAATCGGGAGCAGATCAAACACGGACCTCCAAAAACATCAGAGGTCGGATCAGGTGCCATGGAGGAGTGAGCATCCCCTGGCGACCGGTCCCACCCGCCGTGTGCTCCTTGTCATCATAGGGAAATAAGGGAAAAATCCGTCGACAATTCAGGTATAAATAATGGCCTAACAATTAGTATGAAAAAGTCGGCATATAACTTAATGATAGATTGTATTTACTGACAAAGTCATTATTTCGACCATGATGACTTTAAACGAGACCGTTGATATTCTTGTTTCATCAACTTGTTTGTTAATAACTTAGAAATTGTTCATACGCGGAGCAAGCTCTTACGTATCGAATCAACTGAGAGATGTACACCCCATATGCAGGTGATAATGGTATATTGCTGCATAAGTAAGGGAAAATGACGATTAAAAAGTTAAAGTCATCACGTCTATCATAAAGCTTTGCTGTTGGACTACCATTAAAGTCTTTTTCTAGTAAAATATCCAAATATGAAACAGATTGTCAGACTCTGTGGTATCTTTTATTTCAAGCTCACTGGGATATTTATCGTGTCGAAATATGAATGGAAATAACTATTGTTAATCGATAATACGTCCTCGATATACAGTACCTAATTGTCTAGTCGAAGGCCACAGCAAGCGATTTCTTTTTCTCATCTTATCTCATCTCATAAGATTTTGAATAAATTCTGCTTCATATGAATACAAAAGATAGGTCTGCTAATTTTCATTCTCTTACATTTTGATTTCATGTTTTAAATTTTGAATTTAGGCAGTGGAGAAAAAAAGCTAAATTTTGGCAAAATTTGTGTTCAGGTTAACCAATAAATCCAAAATTTGAATTACAGAATTATTTTATGTATAAATTATTCATACACAATTTTATTGAAATGGGCCATTATCCATTTTTTTTCGAAGTTCGTATCACCTTGGTTTAGGGTTGTGAAGAGCAGATGAAAGTGCTAAACTGAATCGTTTTACTTTTAAGCTACGGTCATCTTGCAGGCAAAATGATAATATATGTTTTGAATATTTCATCCTCTTTTGACATCTAACAGACAAGCCATTGTCTTCTACGGAAAGTTTCATTGGATACCAAGATACCAATGTTTCCAATCTCAATCTACAAAAATTCAGAAAATAAATCTGACTTCTCATTGGAGAAAACTCATATTTCGTGCATATTTTTGACTATTCCCTGTGTTTTTATTCTGTGAAATGCTGTCAGAACCAAGGTTATGGTTAGTTGGATGAGATCAAGATATTTGGGGGGGGGGGGGTTAACTTCCTTAGAAGCAATAACTAAGTAAAAGAAAAAAGGAGCAGAAGAAAAACTTACACTTGTCAAGAGATAATGTTTGAACCTGAACATTTTGGCAAAAGTAAGGTCAATGGGAGAAATATATGGAAATTATGTACTTTACAAAAATACATATGAGGCTGTATTTTGTCTAGGTATTATGCTCAGAGAGTGCTTCTACCATAAAAATGCTTCTTTGATAACGTGTTACCTTCAAAGGCCCATGGTCTCATGTGGCGCTCAATTGTGTTAATTACATTTAAATATTCAAAGCAGTAATTTAAATATTCAAAGCATTTATAATTAAGTAAGATGAGCAAAATACTGGATTTCAGTTCAATTCAACTCTGAGCAAAGATTTTTTTAAAATCATGTATAACTTAAATCTTTGATTATACTTCTAATCAGATGTCAGAGGAATGTAGGTTTAATCAATCACACTATCCTACAAGCTATTAATCAATACCCACAAAAGGATTTCATCATTTTAGTTTCCATGCAATTATGGGAGAAAAGTGATTTACAGATTTACCATGCAAAGGAGGGTCCAGCTCTCTCTGTAGACCTGGGACAGTGGACTCTACATACAGTCCCCGACCCCAGTGGAGGGCCTGTACTTGCTCTTCTCATGAACATATTCAAAGGTAATTCACTTACAATACATAGATTTTGAAGTTATATGAAACTTTCCTTTTCTGGTTCGAATGGGGGTTTTCAACAAATTTTATTCTGTACAGGAACCTACTACATAAATCATCATCAGCATAAGGGAAAAAAACATTCTATACACCTAAATTAAGCTTCATGCTGTTGCACAAACAAACCCTTATCTAATTATTTTCTTTCCTTTTTTGTGCATTTTTGGACAAATTATTCTGATTTTAATTAAATGAATTTCATTTGCACTAATACTTTGTAGATATTTTCAGAGTTGAAATTTTCTAAAAGTGTTATGACTAAAGATCCTGCCAAGACCTACCATTTGATGATAGAAGCTACCAAATTTGCCTACTCGTTACGACCTTTGCTCGGAGATGGTGATTTTGAACCGCAAGTCAAGAATGTAAATAGTATGAAAACGTGCAGTTATTAATTTATAAACATTTATCTCATAAGAAATCTAAGCATTTAGAAATTGTATTGCACAGGTAGTAGCTCGCTTGGTATCGAATGGATTGGCCAAAAACATTACAAAAAGCATAGACAGAAATAAAACACATCCTCAGTCTTATTATACAAACAGTACCATGACTTCACATGACGATCAAGGGACCAGTCACGTGTCTATTTTGGCGCCAAATGGGGATGCAATGTCTGCCACTAGCACAATAGATTTTTAGTAAGTCTCTCTCTCTCTCTCTCTCTCTCTCTCTCTCTCTCTCTCTCTCTCTCTCTCTCGTGATATTATCATTATAAATTTTGATGTTTTTCAATTTATTCAGTTTCGGTTCAATGTTTATGTCAAATACTACGGGCATAATTTGGAACAATGAAATGTGTGATTTCTCCCTAAAACGCACGGCACAGCAGGTAAGATTTTATAATAGAAAAAAAATATTTAAAAAGACAAGTATTCTTTCAAGAAAATTAAAATTATTTTAAGGGCCCTTCCCCCGATTCAGATCGTCATAAAGGTACGGTTACTTCGTCATTTTTAAAGAATATCCTTGATACAATAGTAATTTTCAAAATAACGTGCGAGTAGGACTAGTCAGACTTTGATTTGTGGTAGAATATCACTAGTCCGCACAGACAAGTGCTTCACAAAGTTTGTTAGTTCGAAATATTTCTACTAGTCTCGGACTTAGGTCATGAGCTAATGTCGAACCCTGTCGAACTCTGCCAAGCATTCATTCGCTTGAGAAAATACAGCGATTTGATTCCTAAAGATACAAATAGACGTTTATTCCTTCTCAAATATATTTAGGTAAACTACGTACATATACATGTTACTTAAACTTTTAAACTATCAAAACTATACATCGATCTGTTTTCTTCTTTCAAGAATACTTTTATAATAACTTTATGATTAAAAAGGTTTCCGGAGTGAACTCGGTAAAACCAGGTAAACAGCCCCTGTCCTCTATGGTACCCGCCATATTTATTGACAAAAAGAGCGGGAAAGTCCGTTTGGTGATTGGCGCCGCTGGAGGCTCAAGGATTACGACAACTGTCGCTCAGGTAATTCCTAGAATAATTAAAAAGGTATCCTATTATCTTTATAGTAAACAACTGCATATTTTGAGAATGCATTTTGCAGGTTTTAGATCTTTATTACATTGACCCCATTTCCATCACGTGATAAGTGTTTGTGTCAACAATATCATTGAGTTTTGTTTGGTTATTAAAGGAGACATTAAGATTTTGAATGATAGATCTCACATTTATCTTCTTTTGTAACACCTGTTTATCTGCTGTAAACAATGCAGGTGCTCGTTTTCTTTCTTCTTTAAGGCCTTAAATTGTTTCTATTTCATGCAACAACGTAAATGCTCAGCCAGCATCTGTATATGAAAGCATTTTAATGAAAAACAAGCTTTTATATCATGTATCGTATCTATTATTATTTATTACACAGATTTCTCTCTCTCTTTCTCTCTCTCTCTCTCTCTCTCTCTCTCTCTCTCTCTCTCTCACAAACAATTAGTATTTCCTAAGGAACGAAATAAGAAAAAGTTCAATCTAATTATGCAATTAGTACAAAGGAGATGGGTGAACAAGGCGCGCAGAATGCTTATAAATAGCTTCAGACATATAAAAATCATAATCAATTTGTGAATTTAATATTTAGGGTATTATTGAGAATTTTAATTATGATAAACAAAACTTTTCTGGGGAAAATTTTATCGGCAAAAATTATTCTTTTATTTAAAAAATAATGTGGTATTCGTGGGGTTCGAACCCTATAGCTAACAATAAAAATCCTGAGTATCATTCTCGTTTGAGACTAACACGCTAACCAACTACGCTACACTGCTCTTGGTGAATTATGGCATTTAACTCTTGTTTGTGATATGATCCTTGACTAAATGGACTTAAGTATTTCTCGGAAAGATGCGAATGTTGTGTCATGAATTAAAGTGTATTTTTAAGGTATAATTGGTCTTTGCTCCATGTTTTTGTTGACCAAAAAATGTATATTTTTTCGCAAACTTTGAGAATAAACTTTGAAAAATATGGAGGGAAAACCAACTCATATCGAAAAACTGTGTTTTAGCATGAGAAAATGATCCTTTTTGCCCTCTCTAGTGTGTGTATGCTAGTTCATAGGCAAATAATTTCAATCTTATTGAGATTTTTTCATATTGTGGAGATTCTACATAAAGTTTACTTTTATTTTAGATGATTTATCAAAGAAAAATTTGTTACAATTTAGATTTAAATTTTCACCTTCATGTTTGTTGCACTGTAGGCATTGCACTCGCCTTATTCGCCCATCGTCATACTATATGCCTATTTTCAGTTTTCTTCTATGAATGAGAACAGGCTTCAGTCAAATTTTAGATTTTGAGTATCTTTATTTTTATTTAACGAACACGTTTAAAAAGTTGCAAATTTATATTATATTCAAATACAAACACATGATGAATATTCGGCTTTTATTTTTAAACAAATTCAAAAGTTAGTAATTTGAAATTTTGACTTGCTTCTGTTCTCAGCTTATGGTCCTGAGACCAGGAAAAGACTCTTGGCACTCAGTTTTATGTTCCATCGATCTCTTATTTTTGATTTCCTATTCCAGTAATAAAATACATAAGGGAGGAAAATCAATACATATTTCTGTCCGAACTTTTCTCATCATGAAAAAAAAGAGGAAACTGTTGCAAAAATGTTGGGTATTTAAAGCCGTCTTCCTATTTGTTTACTATGTTTGGGTCTTCTTCAGGAATTTAAATTTTTCCCTCAAATAATATTGCTACATTTAAGTAAAAGGTGAAAACATGAATCAGCAAACAGTAACATCAACACTTCCGGTGTATGAATACAAACTTAAAATGCTATCTTTATAGTGATACGGTCTGTAGCTTTGTGTATATTTCAAAATGGAAAATACTTGGAACACAAATATTCATATTCTTCTCAGCAACATTTTTTACGAACCTGACAGATATAAAATTTCAAATCTCACGGGGGAAATGGAGAATAACGTCAATATTAAATTGTTGCGTTTCGACCTCGACAACTGTAGATTCACGCATTGACCAAAAAAGTGTTTGAGCATGGACAGGAAATTATTTACAAAATAAATCCGGAAATGAATAAAATTTAAAACAATTTTAAAAGCAACACATTAACGTTGACATTCGATGTCTCACCTTTATTTGTCGTCCTGTGTCACGTGCGGTCATTCGAGTTCTTTCGATAATGAAAATTCATGAAATCTTTTTTTTTTAACCAACATGTCCCTGTAATGCATGAAACCTCGGGGTATGTAATGAAACGTTTCTTGATATTCAATGCATTTTGAACATTACCCAAATTTTAACTTTAGGAACATTGTCAAAAATAAACAAATACCTACCATTTAACTTGTTATTATCGACAATGGTTACGGGTTACGGGCCTTTAAAAACTCCGACTAAATCAACTTTTTTATTAAATTAATATTGATTTTTAGCTATATTTAGAAATTATGGTGATTTGTTGAGGCGGTTGTATTGGCTGAAACAAATCTATTACCTTGTTCTTTTCTTATACAGTAAATGTCACTTGTTGACCTGCTTTTGGTGTACTAGTGTTTCCATCTTCTGCAAAATAGCTTAAACATGTAAACATGGTAACAATTTTCAGCCAGAAATAAAAAGAAAAGTTAGCAAAGCCTTTATCCACAACACATACCCTCCAATTAAACGATTTTCATTTTGGTTAACTGCAGAACATGATTGTAACGTTATGTTATAAAATATTCGAAAACCTTTTATGGAGTCTGTACAAGTAGCGATAAATCTTTAATTACAATATCTAATCTTGTATATTTTAACGATGTTATTTAAGTAAAAAAAAAACGATCCATCTTCTTTGAAATAAAAAAAAAACTCTCTCGCACTTTACGAGTATTTCTTATTGCATTAAACGACCATGTTGGTAAGGACTATATCATGAATATATTAGTTATCATATGTCCAATGTCCCTTCGAGACATAATGTTTCGACGATTACGTAAAAACTGCATGACTAACACACTTTTGTGAAATCTCTATTACTATCAATCATACCTGAATCGCTGTATACAATCACTAACGCGAGGGAGTCGCTAAGACGTTTTTGACGTATGGGGAAGTAAATTTTCTAAACTTTGAAGACAGAAGAAAGGTAGGTCATGGCATTTTTTTTTTTTTTTTTGGTCTTTAGAACAATTATTTATATATTGCACGGAAGACAACGATCAACGTCTTGCATCAGAGTTTAGCCAGTTAAAACAGCCAAACAAAGCGTTTATTTAGCTAAGCAACAATTAGATCTCCACCAATATCTGGAGAAAAAAATTAATCATCGAGACATTTTCTGCTCAGATTGCAATAGCTAGACAAGAGAAGTTATTAATTTCTGGGGGAAACAAAACGCACAGGAGAGTCAAAAAATGAACTTTTTATTTCATTTTTTTTTTCTTTGACTGTATTCTTTATTTATTTCCTTATTTTGATTTTATATATTATCATAATTATATTTAAAATTATTATGAGTAGTAGGGCCTGAATATCGAATATCTGAAACATAATCCTCCTTCGTGTCCATGTTCTTCTTCACCCTATAACTATAGTCCTGCTGGACACGTTATTACTGGTGACGTAGATATAGTTAATAATGAGGACCTTAGATTACTAATTTTAAAAGGTCCTAAATAAAGGGAACCCGATCCTCGAACTGGTGTCGTAATTTCATACATATTATGGATTCTGTAGAGTATTACGCCAGGCGTTGGGTAAGACATGAAAAAGAAGACATTGACACTTTGTCAGAATGGATTAAATGTATTAGATATATGTTAAAATCTCAAATTAAACGATTGATGGGGCAATATGAAAACCATCTATCCTTCTGTGTTCAATAATTCAGAAGTTAAAAAAGAATTAGATAGATTACACGATCAGTACGTACTGGTCCCTGCTGACAAAGCAGGTAACAACAATGTTTGCAAAGCTCATTATATAAATTGTATTTTAGAGGAACTGGGATTTAATTCTACAATTGGTAATATAAATTATACCCATAGTTCCCTTTCTAAGGAGGAAATTCTTCAAAATCATATGTCAGTTTTGAATATTTTTAACATACCCAACAACCAAAATGAGTTTGATTTACCATATCTATATTGGATTCTGAAACTTCATAAAAATCCTTACAAACAAAGATACATAGCGGGTTCCAGTAAATGTTCTACCAAGCCTCTTTCTTTACTCCTCACTAAGATATTAACAGTAGTGAAGGAGACACTTCAAGAGTACTGTGCAACAATATATTTGAGATATGGTGAAAATCCGATGTGGATACTCAAAAACTCCAAGGAACTTTTGGAACATTTGAAATCACAAAATTTTACCAATATCAACAACATAAAAACTTACGACTTTTCAACTCTATTAACTATAGAGTTTTCAACTATTCCCCACGATAAATTAAAGTCCAGACTTTCTGACATCGTTGACAGCTGCTTTTTCAATAATCAAAGTACTGAAAGTACTCATGGGAGTTGAACATTGTAATGTGAAAGATTTAACAGGAAGTAAAGGAGCTATAATGTCGGAACATTTTTTCATGCTTTAGATACAAGTCAACTATTGCAGATTTGATAGAGATACAAAATCAAACATAAGAAATAATGTCAAAAACATTTGAATAACGAAGATCATGGGCCACAATACTCACATGAGTAACTTTAATGACTTTAACCGTGCTGTTCTTATTCAGATTTTCAAAAACTTTTACCACTTAATATTCTCATGCTGGGACGTAGCATCGTTTTTGAAAGGGGGGGGGGCTCCAAAATTCTAACTCGAAAATTCTATTATTTGGGTGTGGGGATGGTTTCAAACTTCTTTCAGTATCAAATTTTACTCATACACTACTACATCACCCCTATTTGAATATTCTGCAACAAACAGTAGGGGGACGGACTTTCAATGAACATTTTCAATATTAAATTTTTATAAATTTCATGTTTGGATAAAAGGGGGGGGCAG